GGGAGAACATGTCGGAGCACCTGGAGGAAACCCACGCTGACACAGGGAGAACATGCAAACTCCACATAGAGGGGCTCCCCCACCCTGGGATCGAATTAGGAGCCCTTTTGCTGTGAGGCTACAGTGCTAACCACTACGCCACCGTGCCACCTTCTGTAGTGTTTAATCAGCTGAAAATCAGAATCGCTGTGTTTTCGTTCCCTCAGAATGAGCTGTTTCTATCTACACAGGGAGCAGGTCCTCGTCTACAGAGATCGCCATGTTGCACCGCCATGTTTCTACAGTAGCCCAGAACGGACAAACCAAACACTGACTCTAGATAGAGACATTCAGGTTTACATAATAAGCAGCCCTCTGCAATGAGTAATATCTGAACAACACCAAAATGGTGTTTTTTTTTCTTTTTTTTCTTTTGGCCGGTCTCTGGCCTCGCTGCTTCCTGTCGTTGTGCTAAGCTAACTGGCTGCACCTTCATATAAAGACCTCAGAGTGAAAGCCTGACTCTCTGAGAGAAAACAAATGGATGTATTCCTCAAGATGCTGAACTGTCCCTTTAATTATCAGCTCATATTTGCTGTCTGATCAGAATTTTGGGGAGAGGTGGTTTGGCGTGGCGTTCAGGGAACCTCTGTTGAATAATGATGCGTCTGGATACAGTCCTCGGGCTCTGGAGGTGCTCTGATGTCCCAGATGAAGGTTTCTATTGAAACTAAACATTTTCAGATGTGCACGACTGTGAGGAGGAGGAGGAGGGTCCAGTTCACTCTTTTCTTTAGTACGAGTTCAGTGGTTGGATGAAGCTGTGCAGTAAAGTGTTTCAGATGTTTAATAACCTTTTTACTGTCTTTGGTTCGACCTCTGTGGAAGTCTGTTTGCACTTCAGACAGCTGGGAGCTTTCTACAGCTTTATATAGTTTTCCTTTAACGACAGGCGTCTCTGTGAGCAGAGGACAAACTCGTCTCTGCTGTCTGGTCGTGTCTTTAAAACAGTTCCCTGTTTTCCTTCAGACAAAATCTTCTTCTTCTTCCTCTGCCTCTGCTCAGAGTTTGTGATCAGCAGCAGCAGAGTGACATCATCACCAGCAGCTCCGCCCCACTCAGATCTGGAATTCTGGGGGTTTTCCTCAGCTCGGCCACTTCCAGGAAGTGACTGAAAACAGGCCGAGGGGAGGGGGAGGGGGAGGGGGAGGGGAGGGTGAGACAACACACAGACACAGACAGAGAAGAAGAAGAAGAGGGAGGGTGGAAGAAAAACAGCAGAGAAGAAGAAACAGAGAGAGGGAGTGTGTTGTGTTCGAGGCTCTCTGGTCCGTCATGTGAAAGTGAAACTGCTCCAGATCATTTTTATTTTTCTGTCGTTTGGTTTGTTTGTTTGTTTACTTGTTGTTTACTCGCTCGTTGCATCGAGACTCTTGTTCTTCAGACGGGATTTAAAGTGACTCAGGTCAGAGTGTTTCCTGTTTCCTGTTTGAACTCTTTCAGGTTTAAAGCCTTTAACAGTCTGTGTGTGTGTGTGTGTGTGTGTGTGTGTGTGTCTCCTGCAGGATGACTGAAGCTCAGTTCATCAACGTCTACGACAACGACGTGAGTCCTCTTTTCTGTTCAAACACTCAAACTGCTCTCTGATCTGTAACCTGATCATTAGTGACTCTCCCAGATTATCAGTCAGGGTGTTGATTGGAGTTTTGTCACGTGTACGGGCTCCTGTTAGGGTCAAAAAGATCTTGTACCACTAAGACATGACTTACACATCATGACTCTGCTGTGTGCTTCAGTGTTCACGCTGACCGTCATTTATGATATATTTATTATCATATATAATGTTAGACAGATGTCACGCTGCCAGCAGCTGTTTGCTTTTGTTGTTGTTGTTGTTGTTGTTGTTTTAAGAATCAGCTGTAATAAAAATGTAACTATCAGGGTGAGGAAGATTTTAAACTCGTTGTTAATCATCGTTTGTAAAACTGAAAGAAACAAAAACGTATCTGTTGATGCTGTTTTGTTTGCAACCTTTCAGTTTCCCAAATTCACCTTATCAATACAAAGTTAAATCAAATCAATAACTCTGTCTGTAAAGCTGTAAATAACTCTGCAGGAGAAATCCAAACTTGTGAAGGTGGAGAAAAGATTTTTAGTTCAGGATGTGTCAATAAAATGTGCACAATGTCACAAAGACTGAAAAGTGAAACTCTAATTTCCCACAGCCATGTTTGACCCTGAAGCTTCACATGAACATAATGTTAACTTAAAATAAAATCTGCAGATGAAAATATATTTGGTTGCTGTTTTTGTGATTCGTTGACTCGTCAGTGTCGAAGGAACAAACTCTGCTCAGTTTCAGTTTCAGCTCAAAATCTAAAAGTTTAGCTCCGAACGTCAAAATCTCACAGATGAGAAAAAAATTTCCTGTTTCTGCAGAAGTCGATGTTTTAATCAGTGTCTTCTTCAGTGTCAAACCCAGTGTGGGAACTTTGGGTTTCCTGCTTTGAGTCTAAACTCCAGTCTTTTTTCTACACTTTGACAAACTTAAATTTTTCATGCATAATGTTTTTATAATAAATACAGTTACATTATTGTTGCAGATAAAATGAGGCAACAGATAAAACAATACTAAACTAAAAGATAGGACTTAAAAGTCTAATCAGATTTCTCAATTTAAATGTCTTTAGATTATATTTAACATAATTCAGAGGTTAAAACTGTGTTTTTGGAGTTGATACAAGTGTTAATTTCCCTCCACTGATGAATGCAGTCATGTGTAAAAATGTAAAAACTAAATGCAAATGACAGAACAAAGTGAACGTGTGACTGATAATGAGAAAAGAGAGCCGCGATGTTTGATTTCAGTTTGATTAATAACTTCCTTCAGTCTATGAAATGTTAAAATAGTTATAGATGTTGTCAGAGATCAAAATTTTCTTTCATAATTTGACACAAAGTCTTAAAAGAAATTCAGTTTATTAAAGGTCACATCAGACGCTCTGTAGTCAGATTATTTTAGGTTTGTTTTTTTCTCTGAAGGAATGATCAACATGATCATCAAACTGATTGATCAATAATCACCCTGATACCAGAGACGTGTCACTTTTTACTGATAACTGATGATTGATAATAATCCGAAGTACTGCTCAGACTACAAACAGATACTGGAAATGCTTCCAATACCGAAATTTTGAGTTATAGCTTCTGCACATGTATATTCAGATATCTGTTACTGATGATTGATAATAATTCACACCGAAGTTCTGAATGACGATTTTTGTGACCTTTTCACTTTTCAGGGCTTCTTAGAAACCTTAAAGATCGAGACACTGATTGATCGATGACTAAATGATTGTCCGATTATTTATATATGATCTGTTACAGTTTTACATGTTGAACATATTTTTTCTTCTTCAGCTGCAGATGAATTTGATGCAGTACGACTACATTCCTCCAGTGGACATAAAGACTGAACCCTACATACCTGAGACAGGTACGCAGTCAGACCACACATCAAGATTTGCTGCCTGAAATTCATCAGACAGCCTCCGAACACACGACTCAGTTCTCAGAACATATTTATATTTAAATCAAGTGATTCTGATTGAATATTCTTTTCATTTGACCACATTTCAGATCTTTTCATTCTGTAATTAAAGATTTTACTTCATGTTTATCATGTTCTCTGAATAACTACCATCAGATAATAACTCGTATCTGTACCTGAACGCAGCGGCCAGGCCTCAGTACTCAGATCCAGCCTGTATTTTACTTGAAAATGAAAACATCATCCACAATGATTACTGATGAACAAGTACCATGTAACTGACCATTTAATGAGATTAAAGAATCGACACCATCAGAAAAGTTTTCATTCAAAACATTGGGAGACGTTAAACGTATCAAACCTGCAGGTACATGAGAACCTTCACCTGGACTTTCTAGAACCTTATGTTTGCTCTCAGGCTGCTGTCAGCTCTAGAGTTGTCTCCTCTGGTCTGAATCAGGGACTCATGTTGTTCCAAAGTTGTATAATTGCCTAGAGTTGGTTCGTGTTCTCACGGCAGCATTTACAAGAGGACCAGATCAAATGCCTTGTGTGAGAAAGCTGCTCTTGATTGGTCAGAATTTCCATGTGGGAAAAATCCAGGAAGTAAAGCAAACGTTGAAGAAGAGTACACTTGCAAGATAAATGTGACACTTTCTAATGTCACAATGGAGGGACAACTACGCAGGTTGATTTTAGCGCTGCTCATCGTGGACTATATTGCTGTCATTGTTCATTTTAGTCAAATCATACAGTTTGAAAACGAGGCGCGGCTCCAACTAGAAAACAATGTTTTGATGCATTGGATGTGCTGAATGTGCATATTAAGGCAGTACAGGAGGAGGTGCACATTAATAATCCTCCAGGACTGTAACATGCTCATGTTTAACCCAAACAATGTGTCAACGTGACTGCAGTTGCTTCACATCCAGGTCGGAACACCTTCTCACCACAAACCAACTGCACCAGAGTTCCTTTGGAACCTGACTGAGACCACCTCTTCAAGAAGGTCTCTGTCTGGTTGTTTTGTTGTGTTCACACCTGCACAAATGAACCGCACTGAGGGGGCAAACAAACTTATTTTTGATTGAAGCAAACCAAACAGAGCAGATGTGAAATATTAGAAAATTGAGTTGGAACCAAAGAACTAATTTAGGACCACAATTCCAGAAAGAGAACAGTTCTTGTAAGAAGTCTGGCATTTTGCTGTAAACCTTTTAAAACCTCTGATCTGTAGAAACTCTGTTTTTACCCTGTGAAATTACATAAACACAGAGTTTGAAGAACCTCAGATGACCTTTACGTTTACATAGAAACTGTGTGGAACCTCCAGTGGGTAGCCTACCTAAAAATCTAGACCTACAATTTGTAGAAACTTTTTGGGTAATTCATTCAAGTGTTTAGTAATCTATTACTAAACTGAGCCTAAACTTCTCTAAACCTTCATCTAGTACCTGGACTCACCTGGAATTTTGACATAGTCATTATTTCCAGAACCTCCCAGTATTTGAGAGTTTCTGGAAACCTCCTTCAAGAACCTCTTGTTTGCACCTTGAAGCTACACAAAAGGATCTTTGACCAGGAACAGATCATGGTCAACCCCCCCGCGTCGATACCTGGAACCTTGTAATTCCGGCCTAATGTTGAATCATACCTGGAAACGAGGACAGAGGCATTTCACAGCTTTGTTAGAAACAACAGTACCCATCAGTACTTGGGGACTCCGACATAAGCTTATGTTCTCCTGTTACCAGAAACAGAGATCTTGTTTGTCCACAGACTGCAAATGAACGGTACCTGGGAAGCTGCAACTTTCCAGAACTTACTAAGAGGGAAAACACCATCTACCTTTTGACTCTGAAGAACTATCGCTGGTAAAATTGTGAAAGTCAACGGTGATGTTCAGAAACCGTCAGTCATGGTGACCACTGGGTTTTAGGCTGGTGTAGTGTCAGTTTCTGTCCATGTCATTGACTCAACTTTTATTTGTGTTTCAGCTCATGGTCCCTACATTCAAATCATCGAGGAGCCAAAACAGGTGAGACTTATATTTTACTTCCTGTTTGTAGTTATCAAACTTAGAAATTCTCCCTTGCAGTGTCGACATTTAGTTTCTACTCTTAGTCTACAAACCTAAGTTTTTGGACCAGCTGCGCTAAAAACAACAAACAGAAAGAAAGTCGGAGTCAAATTAAAAGTTCAAACATTTAACATTCATTTTTATGTTAAAAAAAAAGAGAGACCTTAAAGTCTTAAAGGATTTTTTTTCCATAAAGGCGTACCACAGGGATCAACATCAGGTCCCCTACTATTTTAATTTATTCTCAAACTGAGCATTTAAGCATCCTTTTTTATGCAGACGATACTGTCTTTATACCACTAACCTGCCACAAATCTTTTCCAGATTACAGTCCAATGAACTCCAGACCTTTTTTATTAATTACAGTTTGTTCCTAACTCCTGAAAAACACAATATTTGCATTTCACAATGTAAAAATAAAACTTAATTGATCTCTGTGTGAAGATTCATATTACAGCTGAACAGAGAGAAGTAAAAACCCTCTGTCCCTTTGCTGTGGCGTTGACAATACAAACACGCAAAAGAAAAAACATGGAAATGAATAAAAGTCACATTTTTTAACAATTTAATTTTCATTTATTATTGTTTTAGGCCTTGAGAAATTCTTAAGTTCTCCAATTGTAATAATACGGAGCCTATACACTTAATTAAAAAATGTTTTAATACCTAAATGTGGATCATATGTCTACGGCCCGGCGCCCTTTCCTCTGGGTCGTCTTGAGTCTAGCTGGGCTGACTATGGATCCCAAATCCAAAAAAAGTAAAAGTCTAGAAGGAAAATTTAAAAATTCACAAAGATTTGTTTCTTTTACCACAAACTCTGGAGTTAAAGTAGCAAATGATCATAAATATCCCACTGCAGTGGCCACAATGTAGTGAAACATATTAATGAATGCTGGTTAAGACCTGTTAGTAGTGTATACATAATATACATAATAGGTTGTGTTACTGACATTATAAGGCTCAAATATGTTTTGCAGCTCCAGAACATTTTCAAAATTATTATCTTTGGTCAAATATGGCTCTATTGAGGGTAAACAATGTTGACCCCAGCTCCAGGGGAAATGGCCAGTATCTGGGAGAACTCATGTAGCCTGTGAAAAATCCCGGCCAAGACTTTGTCTTCTTTGTGCTGCTTTTTGTTTGCAGTTTGATTAGCAACTTGAGACAAGTCTAGACAACATTTTGACTAATTTCAATAAACAGGTTTCAGCATATAGATGCTGATAAATACATAGTTTGATACAGTCTCTTTCAAAATAAAAGCACTACATCAGTACAACACCAGCAACTGATGTTTTTTAACCTTCGCCAACACACACACATGGCGATGTCAAAGCCTTTTTTTGTCAGTGTCTGATGTCGCAAGTCACTGCCCAGACTTTGGAGTGAGACTGAGTTGACCTGCCACTGTAACGTGATTGGTCAGTACTGCTCAGACTACACAGATACTGGAAATGCTTCCAATACCGAAATTTTGAGTTATAGCTTCTGCACATGTATATTCAGATATCTGTTAACACAGATTAATAGACTAGAGTAGCCATGATGACTAAACTCAGCGAGTTGTATGTAAGTATGATGAATAAGTGGAATATACATGGTAATAAATGATTAATATGATGTTATATATAATATTATGTGCAGTGTATGTAACATATAGTACCAACACTATGCAGTAATAGTCCAGCACAATGAAGCATAACAGATACATGATAAAGCATGTAGTAATGAAAATATGCACAGTATTATTATGTGGAGCTGTAAGTAGTACAGTAACTGAAATGTGAGGTGCTTTTATGATTTTTGCTTTAGTATTAACAAAACCCAGGTGTACAGGTGTTGTTGCTGTTTTAGGACCTAGAAGAACTTTGTGAGAACAAAGGCCTGTTTACTGTCGCTACATGAACATGTAGTACTGTTGGCAGTGATTCCCCCACTCAGGCTGATCCACACATTACTGGAACAGTCACTTCCTTTAATCCAGGGTTTTCCCAACAGTCATACAACAACATGGGACTGAGCAGCTGAGCACAAACAGGCTGCAGGACGTCAGGGAGTTTCTGCAGATAAAGGTCATGTGACTCTTTATGCAAATCAAACAGCAGAAGAAGAACCAGGTTTACGCAATCAGGAAGTGACATGACTCAGTGACTGTTGGTGCCGCTGAATCACAGACGTTTGACTCGTTATAATGAAACAGGTCACATGAACAGGTGGCCTGTCAGCAGAGGGTTAACGTCAGATAACAGCAGGCAGTGTGACACTGTAGGGACATAAACACACATTATAACACCCAAATTATAAAACTAGATCCATATAATAACAATAACAATAATAATCATAATGATCATTATTGTTACTGTTATAATAAAACAACTGTACTTATAAAACATCTTTTACTTTTATAACAAAGTGTTTTACATGGTTGAACCAGCATTAAATAATTTAGATAAAATCTGATAAATAAAATAAATAAAATTCCCATTGATACTGTTTGTTTTTGAAAAATAAATAAATAAATAATAATAATAACTGTGTAAAAAAGCTTTTAGTAGATAAACAGATAAATAATTAAATGATAACATTTTAAAACGTGATTATCACATAAAATCCTACAGTGCAGCCAAGACTGGTTCATGTCTGAAAGAATAAATTATCTGAGATATGAAATGATGTAAATATGAAGATGAGCGGTGAAGTCTGCAGTAAACAAAAAGCATCAGACTGTGTTGTGTAAAGGCACAGAGAGAAAAACATACAAATAATTTATATGTGACAGATTCATCATCAGATCAGGTCCATGAAAGTTTTACTTTCAGTGTTTATAAAATAAAATTCGGCAGAGAGTGAGACGTGATCAGCTCTGAGGTGACGAGCTGCTCAGTAACGTGCTGTGTTTGTGTGTCCTCAGAGGGGCTTTCGTTTCCGTTATGAGTGTGAGGGTCCATCCCATGGTGGGCTCCCAGGGGCCTCCAGCGAGAAGAACAGGAGAACCTACCCGACCGTGAAGGTGGGTCTGACAACACTTTAACAACATGTCAACAACCTCTGCCACACTCACACACGTGTAGTTTTTAAAGGAACATTTCACCTAAAAACATCGTCTGAGTCTTGTGTTGCGTTCATGTCACGTAGGAGTTCACATGCACGTGTTTCCAGCTTCAGACTTCTCACATCTGTTGTGTCTCTGTGTCAGATTAATAACTACATGGGTCACGCCCGGGTGGAGGTCCAGCTGGTGACCCACACCGACCCTCCTCGTGTTCACGCTCACAGTCTGGTGGGACGTCACTGCACCGAGAACGGCACCTGCACGCTCGACATCGGCCCCAACGACCTCACCGCCTCGTCAGTATCCAATCACATCGCTGCATTCAGACTGAATCACAACAAATCAGACAGTAACAAGAAGGTTTTTAATCCTCGTCAGACGCTCTGGTTACTTCTAAAGAAAAACTCCAAAGAAGAAGTCAGAATTTTCTTTTATAAATTCAGCTTCCAGGAAACATTTTTATCACCTTTTATTGTCAGATTAAAGTCCAGAGCAGAAAATATGGAGAGAGACAAACTAATATATGTAAATAAATTCATAACACTGATGTTGGAGTGGAAATGTGCTCACATTAACACCAGGAAGAAAGAAATACAACGATAACTCAACCCTCACAGGGGAATTTTATTTAAGAAGTGACTCATAGCTCCGAGGGATTTCTTAAAAATAGAACATAAAACTTCACACAACATCAATGTGCTGGTTTAAAAATGGACAAATACAAGAAATATTATTATAAAATAAACAGGTATTTTTTATCAATATGTGTCAACATATCTGTGGATAATTTTTAGATTAAATTCGTAAAACTGTCGATAAGATTAAAGGAATTCAAGTGAAATAATGAATGTAAAAAAAAAGAATATATTAAAATAAATACTTGAATATGTAAATGTCTATATTAAAAATAAAGAATATGAAATAAAAACATAAATAAGAGCATTTTTGGAAAATTACTGTAGAATTTAGAATAAGTAAATGTATCTATAAAAATAAAGAATACATTTGAAATAAATACAGAGGAGTTTTATTAATAAAATATTTTTAGAATTGAAAAAAGAAAATGTATATATAACAACTAAAGAATGTCAATCAATCAATCAATTTTATTTATAAAGCCCAATATCACAAATCACAATTTGCCTCACAGGGCTTTACAGCATACGACATCCCTCTGTCCTTATGACCCTCACAGCTGATCAGGAAAAACTCCCCAAAAAAACCCTTTAACAGGGGTAGTAAAAAAAATAAATAAATACACACACACACACACATATATATAAATATAT